ATTGGAGAGAAGCTTTAAGAGATCCAAAGTAGAAGAAAGCTATGATTGAAGAGATGAGAGCATTGACAAAGAATGAAACATGAGAACTTGTTTCACCTCTACAGGGAAAGAAGATAGTTGGTTGCAAATGGGTGTTCACTGTAAAACACAAAGCAGACGGATCGATCGAAATGTACAAAACTAGATTGGTGGATAAAGGATTTACTCATACATATGGGATTGACTATCAGGAGATATTTGCATTTGTTGCGAAGGCGAACACAATTAGGATACTTTTGTCTTGCGCAGCTAACCTTGATTAGGATTTACAATAGTTAGATGTAAAAAATGCATTCCTCCATGTAAACTTAGAGGAAGAGATGTACATGTAAATTCCACTTGAATTTGAAGATGAGAGGATGCGAGGAAAAGTTTGTCAATTAAAAAAGGCTTTATATGGATTGAAGCAGTTTCCAAGAGCATGGTTTGGACGGTTTAGAACAATCATGATCTCTTTTGGATATTAACAAAACAATGCGGATTATACCTTGTTTATTAAATATCATGAGGGTAAAGTCACTATTCTCATTGTTTATGTGGATGATATTGTGGTGACTGGAGATGGCTCGGTTGAATGAACTTCTTGTTCTAGAATTTGAAATAAAAGATTTAGGAACATTGCAATACTTTTTGGGAATTGAAGTTGGCAGATCCAATAAAGAGATCTTCATTTCTCAAAGGATGTATATCTTATACTAGATTGGTATGATAGGTTGCAAGCCGACAGAATCACCTATTGAGAGCAACCACAAATTGCAAGCAGGTAGTGGTACATCAGTTGACTTAGAAAAATACCAGAGACTAGTTGGAAGATTCATTTATCTCTCACATACCAGACTCGATATAGGATATGCAGTTAGTCTTGTGAGCCAGTACGTGCATTATCCTCGTGAGACTCATTTACATGCTGTTTTTCGCATATTACAATACCTGAAGTCTGCACCAGGAAAATGTTTGCTCTTTTCTAAGCATGATCACCTTAAAATATAAACATTTACAGATGCCGATCGTGCTGGTTCCCTAAATGATAGAAGATTAACTACAGGTTACTGCATACTTGTAGGAAGCAACTTAGTTACATGGAAAAGTAAGAAACAAAGTGTGGTTGCTCGCTCAAATACTGAGGTAGAATATAAAGTAATGGCCCAAGGAGTATGAGAAGTACTATGGTTGCAAAAGCTAATAAGGGAATTAAAACTACTTGAAAATGAGAAACTATCCTTGTTTTGTGACAATAAAATAGCAATTAATATTGCTCATAATCCAGTTCAACATGACAGGATAAAACGCATTGAGATTGATCAACACTTCATAAAAGAAAAGATAGTTGGTGGCTCTCTATGCTTCTATCATGTATCTTCTGGCGACCAAGTGACTGACATTTTCACTAAAGGATTATGCAACAAATCTCTTTAAAACCTGATTTGCAAGTTGGACATATGTGATATCTTTACGCCAATTTGAAGGGGAGTATTGATAAGAATTTTATGTTAAGTAAAATACTATATTATTTAGAGTTCTAATAATATAATTTATATTCTATAATTAGAGTTCAAATAGAATAAGGATAACTAGTCTGTATATATCTTCTAAATATAAATAAAATAAAAAATTAAAAGTTTATTTTCTCTAAAAATTTCCCAATGAAACAATATTTAAGTAATAATAGTAAAAATGGAGAAGTAGATGGAAATAAAATAAACACATATTGTAGTCTTTTTTTAAAATAAGCGCAGAAATTTAGAAAATAAAGATGAAAAGAGATTTTCATGTGCAGTGCAGAATGGAGCTTAGTGTTTGGAGGTTGCATTTTGGAGTGGTTTTACCTAATAGTTTAGTATTTTATCTTCCTTATGGAACTCAATGTCCGAGACTCGATGTTTGCTACAGAAAAATTTATTTCTAAAATACAAATCCTGCTGCACTGGGTCTTTCAATCCTATAGAAGTTTTGCGGTGGAGCTTGGTGTGGAATCTGCAAGATAGCTACTGTGAAATAGAAATCTCTAAAGAATCACCTTTCTTCTTTTCTATATATGCTAGCACTGCAGAGTGTTAATTTAAGTGAGTAATTAGTAAAATCTAACCAAAAGGAATATGGTAAAACATGTGCTTGAGATAATTCCGATTCATATATAAATTAGACTTACCCAGAATTTTCAGTTGTCCTATTTTCTTACTAGTTAATAGGAACCTATTTGGAATAATTGGAATCTGTTTACTCTGGCAGATGGATAATTCAATTGGAAGGATTGATACCCGTGTCAAAGAAGCAGCTTATCATACTTGGCTTGGTTATTATAATTCAATCAGGGAAATTGGCAGGGACAAAACAACACTTGTGGAGCTAGCCAACCAATTTTGTCAATCAATTGGCTTACAGAATCCTCCACCTCTCTTTCGTAAGACAGCATTAAAAATGGGGTTAAAAGATATTCCTGGCATCCGGATCCGAAAGTGACCTGAATATTGAGGGGTAATCTATTGATTAGTTGGGTTGGTAAGAAGGAATCAAGTGTGAGAAGTAGATGCAAGAATAGTAATTTGATATATCATATTTTATGTTAATTTTTACAATACCAAAAAGTTTCGGACAAAATGTTTTTTCACTTGATGGTAAAATTACTTGGTCTCAAATAAGATTATTTTTTGTGGAAAACGATTTGAAATAATTGTTAAAGATCTATTTCTTGATCGTAAAATGTCTAAATGATTTTAAAAAGAGAATCTCAAAGTTATGAAGAATGTTTGAATTTTTTTTAAGCTTTTATGATAATTATGTAAGTTTCTCACTATTTTTTTTGGATTGATTTGTTAAGGATTTAGATTTGGTTGCTTAGAGTTGAGCATGATCTTTTCATTAGTCGGAAGGCTACATCAAATAAAAGGTATGTTCTTGCTTTGTGGAGGGAGACTTGGGATAGAAGAAAATTTGCTATTGCTTTTGGAGACTTTGAAGAGGAGAGGGCGTGTTCTCCATCTTGTTTTGAGCTACATCTTCTGCAATCTTCCATTAAATATTCGTTATGGATATAAAAATGTGAGTTATGGTTTATTTAGAAAATTTTATTGTGATAACATATTCACCTCTTGTGGGCCAATAATTTGGTAAATATTATATTTAATTAAACATAATCCATGCAAAGATAAGATTAAATTTATTGAAATAATTGAAAATGTTCTAGGTATAATTAAGATATGAATTAAGCTGAAATAAATAATAAAATTCTTATTGTTTTATCATTTAATCAATCAATTAATTTTATTTTTATTAATTGTTTAATAAAATAATAATTTAAAAAATATTAAACTTTGATATTTCCACAGAGATATTTTGCTATGTAACGAGGAAGAAGAATTTTGTAGACAAAATTTTTTACAAAGGAAGAGAACTTTATCATGTTTTTAAGATTAAATCCATTAAAGTGTGGAAGGTACATTCTAGAAAAATTAGAATTTACGCTAACCGTTCTAACTCAGCTTAATGCAATTTATTAATAAAAAAAGATCCTGACAGGTTAATTCCATAATCCATTAATCTTTGTGGTAGAAAATCTGCAATCTTTATTTTCGAAGTTGAAGAAAAATGATGTTTGCATGATTTGAATTTGAGAGAACAAAAAAGAAGAAGTTAAACACTTGCCTGAAAATTGAAAATAAAAAAAAATGAAAAACTTTCCCCAAGACTCTCAGTTAGTACCCACCAAACTCACTAACTTGCTCGGCATACATGGCAAAAGCATTCTCTTTGCTGCGAGCAGAAATGGTAGACAGAGCACATGATTTCCTTCCTTTACAGAGAGAATATGGAATCATAAAGAGAGATGAGCCACTGAATTTAGAGGGAAGGAGACGACGGGTGATGATAAATGATGATGATGACGAGAAGAGGAACTCACTGAGTTTATCATGAATTGTTATTTAGGGTGAGAAAAATTCTCTCTTCCGCCATTTGTTTCCATCTATCTCCATTTTAGACATATATCTGTGTAGTTCAATTTTCAGTTACATGCATTGGAGTTTTCCGATCATAATATTGCAAAAAGCTACCAACTCTGAACTGTGTAATTCTTATTTGAACATTTATTTGTTTCCGCGCCAATCCCCTTCCCCGCTTTTTATAGTTGCCTATCAAATAATATTAATAAATATAATACATATACATATATATATATATATATGTATATATGTAACTTAAATTGGGGAACCGATTAACTGGGTATTCTTCTTCCTTCATACGGTGATGGTGTTTGTTTAGATGATTGTGTTGTTTGGTTTAATATTGCTTTTTAGGGTGAGGATTGATTTTTATATTATATCATGATTTATTAATTAATAATAATAAATGTCCATCATAATATAATATTTCAAACATATATGTCTGTAATATAATTTGACTTGAACGCACAATTTCTTAAAAAAAATAAATATACTAACCATTAAATTTAAATTTTTCGATCATATTTTTATTAAATTTGATGAATATATTCGTTGAATAATGTTCTATCTGTAGTTTTGGAAAAAAAATTTTTTTGACTCTTTCAAAACAAAAATGAATCTAACAACTATGGTTTTGATTAGAAGGATTGGTTGGAGTTACTTTCTTGTCTGATTTCAATGGCAACTCCATCATCTAGCGGTTTTTCTACTCAAAGAAATCAACCATACTTGCATCTACTCAATTTATTACTTCTAGATTCTCTCAGAGGTTATACAGGGGATATTTCCTAAATGTAATATGGGGGATGAAGTCAACTTTCTGCAGTGATGTGACTTTCGGAGAGACAGTAAATTCAATTCCGATAACTCAGAGTCAAGTTCATGTGACTTTCCAGCTTTATTTCCCTCGAGAATGACACCAGCGATACCAGTAGACTTGAACATTGTTCTGTGTTCTCAATATAGACGTATTTATCTATAATAGAGCACAGGACATAAACTGCATCTTATGTAACAAACTAATTTTAATAAATCTAAATAAAAGCTGTCCAATAACTTTTTACATAATATTTCTCGACTATGAATCTTTGAAACGCTTTACCAAGTTTCTAAGAATACATATACACAAACATATATGTACAGACCTAAATAATAAAACAAATTAATGTTTGATGTTTCCTGTATTACAATTTTCTATAATCTGTCCTAATTTTGTATCTAGCCAAAAGTTTAGTGGCAAAATCAAGTGAGTGTTCGCAGAAACTAGTATGAAATGGAACCAGGATGATAAAGATCATGAGAAGATTTAGAGGAAGAGGCAGTCCATGAAGGGCACATTGATGCAGAAGTTGGGGTGTCGGAAACAACACTCTCCGTAATACAATTGTCTCTTAGTGCTTTGTTTCTCAAGTAAGATTCTTCATTCATCTCATAAAGGTCATAACCAGAAGCAGATAGAAAACCAGAACCTGTAGATGTTGTACGAGAAGCCTGATTTTTTGGCAAGCTTTGACTATGAATTTGCTTCTGATGCTCTCTTACAGCTAGGAATCTCAAATCTTGACTCGATGTGCTTGACTCGGGGATCACTTCAGGGATGTTCATTGTTCCTTCTAACATGCTTACAACTTCAGACATAGTTGGCCTTAATGCAGCGGAAGCATTGGTGCACAACAGGGCTACTCTAATCATTCTTTCTGCTTCCTCATTATTGAATTCACCTTTCAGCCTTTGATCCACTAGCTCAATTAGCTTTCCACTTCGCTCCAATTGACAGGCCTGCAAATCATATAAAATATGCATGTGTCAATGTTCTTCAAATAGATGGTCATCGTGTATATTTTGAACATTAGGTTCTTCTCGGCTATATATCTTCATAATTGGTTATATTCATAGCAGAGATTCAGCTTCCAATCAGGTCATGTACGGCTTACCATTATCATTACTATATAATAATAATAAATTCCTAGCTGCACTTGCAGAAGTAGAAATGAGAGGATTAGTAAGATTACATTAGCTTCAATAGAAAAATATGTTATCAGATTAAATATCGAAAAATTTGCAATCAGTGTCCAGATTCTAAAAATTTATTTTCCGATTTAGTTTCTAATAGTATATCTATAATTAGTAGGAAACAATTTACTGGGAAGACTTGTAAGATTCTTGGTGTAATTAGGTTATTTTTATAAGATCTCCTCATGCTACAAGTACAAGACTTTATAATGTGTAGAATCAGAAAAAACTGAAACAGAATCTCTCTATTTTCAACCAGAATATTTGTCTATTTTACTCTCAATATACATGTTATTAGAGTGTTAACAGAGAAAAAATATCAGAAATTTCTTGCTGCTCAATCTACAATCTTTGTTTTTCCTCAATCGGACAGCTGTTACTATAGACTTCACCGTATTAACAGACCTCCACCATGTAAGAAAGACCTCAAATATGACATGACCATTGCAATAAACCACACCACACTAGAGATACATGCTGGCTTATCCATGGAAAACCTGCTGATTAGAAGCCGAAGAACAAAAAACAGCAGTGTTTTGCTAATGCAGTTGTTGGACAGCCAGTCCATTTACGAAGAAGTAAATTGATCAACTTCTGAAGCTTCTAAAGTAAAATTCAAATACTGTATCTCTAATTGTTTTATGGCTCATTTAGGTAAAAATTCCTCTTTTTGAATTTATAAAGAGTTAGGAAAGAAAATACTGAATATTTCTTGTGTTTCATTCTGTAGAGTTAGGGGTATATATACATAGAAAAAATATCTACATATGCAAATATAAATCGCCCTATTAATAAATCAACTAATAATTATATAAAAATATTTCGTAATATATTTTGTAATATTCTAACACTTATCGTTAAACTGAATCATAAATATTAATCATGCCCAACTTGTTACGAGAATATTCAATTCAGATTTCATTCAAAATTTTTGAGAATAAATCATCTAATTATTTCCCTGTTTTCACATAACCGGTAAAGATCAAGTTCTCCTGAATCTTATCACAAAAAAACTGACAATCAATCTCGATATATTTGATTTTTTTATGGTACACCGGATTTGAAATAATATGAAGGGAGGTTGATTATCACACCAGAATTTTGCAAGTAATTTGAAATTCAAACCTACTTTCTCTAAAAGATGTTGTGTCCATAAGACTTCATATGTGGACTGAGTCATAACTCTGTATTCAGACTTTGCATTGGATCGGAACATAACTGTCTGTTTCTTACTCCTCTATGATATTAGGTTCCTACCAACGAAAACATAATAACTTGTAGTGGATCTTCTATCAATTTTAGATTTACCCCAATCAGCATCTGTAAAACATTCAATGTGGGTGTGCTCATGATTGCTAAACAATATACAAAATTCTGAAGCACTTTTTTGATAAAACAAAATATATTCCAAACTCTCCTAATGTTTGACTGTAAATGCAGACAAAAATTGACTACCAACATTGATAGGATATGCAATATTTGAACAAGTCATTGTGAGATAATTTAATCTCTCAACTAATTGTCTGTATCTTTTTGAATCATCAAGGAAGTCATCATCATCTTTAGTAAGGTATATATTTGGTACTATTAGTGTGTTACATGCCTTATCTCCCAACTTTCCGGTTTCTGCAAATAGATCAAATACATACTTTATCTAAGATAAGAAAATCCCTCTCTTACTTGTTACTTTTATTCTCAAGAAGTATTTTAACTGACTCAAATATTTGGTGTGAAACTTGGTATGTAAGAATAATTTGAGAGAAGATATATTTGCACAGTCATCTCCTATAATGACGATATTATCAACATAGAAAATAAGAAGTATAAGACCAGCTATTGATTTTTTATAAAAAACTAAATAATTACACTTGCTTTTCTTCAGCTCAGATTCTAGAGTTACTTCACTAAATTTGTCAAACCATGCACAGAGACTCTACATCTAACCATATAAAGTTTTTTTCAAATGACAAATTTTTCCATACTCTCTTGAACAACAAATCCAAGTGATTGCTCCACATACACTTCTTCTAGAAGATCACCATGAAAGAATGCATTCTTGATATCTAACTGGTGTAAGGATTAATTTCGAAATGTCGCAATAGAGATGAACAAACGAACAAATATAAGTTTGGCTATCGAAGAGAAGATATTAGAATATCTACCCCATAAGTTTGAGCATAGCTTTTCACTACAAGTCTGGTTTATTGAGCCATCTGAATTTACTTTGACTGAAAATACCAATTTGCACTCCACAACCCTTTTTCTTTGGGTAAATCTACCAAATCCCAAGTACGATTTTTATGAAGAGAATTTATCTTCTCAAGTATTGTATTATGCCAACCAAGATGATTCAAAGCTTTTTTAATTGGCTTAGGCATGAAAATTGAATCTATAAAAGTAATGAAAGAGTTAGATAAGGGAGACAAATGGTTATATGAAATAAAATTAGCAATGAGATAAGTTGACTTAGGAATGGTGCACAGACGTTTATTTTTACGAAAACCAATAGAAAGATCAAGGTCTTATGAGGCAGAATCAGATGACGAGGGATCTGGTGCAGGACATGTATCAATAATTTGTTGTCTTCTGAAATAAACATGATCAATTGGTGGAAGTACTGAGGTCAGAGGCATACTAATACTATCATGAATTTGTTCAAGTAGAGCTGGAGGTACATCATCTGAAAAAATATTATTATCTGTTTGCTCAATAGAAGCACCTCATGTGAAACTATAGATGAGCCACTCATTATCTACCTCCTAACTTGTATACTAAGATAATGAGAAGAAAAACGGTGTATTCTCTAAAAAGATCACATCAGTTGATATCAAATATTTATTAAGACCTGAAGAGTAGCACTGATATCATTTCTGAAAGAAAAATATCTAAAAAAAATACATATTTTAAGGCATTTGGGTTCAATTTTGTCATACTAGATCGCACATATCGAATATAACAAGTGTTACCAAATATCTTATACATTACACCAGAAACAAAAATTTGTTTGGAAAAAGAATACTGTAAGAAACATCTCCATCAAGTACTGTAGATGGCATACGATTAATCAAGAAATAAGCTGTGGAAACAGCATCAGTGCAGAATTGCTTATGGACTTGAGTTTGGAACAAGAGGGTTCGAGTTGCCTCAAGTAAATACCTGTTTTTATTCTCAACAACTCAATTTTGAGAGGTTAGTGAATGATCCTTTGTTGAGTCGTATAGTTCTGAAATGAGTTTGACATATATTTCTTAACATTATCATGTCTCAATACATGCACAGAAACATTAAATTGTGTCTTGACTTCAATTCAAAAAATGCAAAAGTAAGAAAATACTTTAGAACGATTCTTCATAAAATATATCCAAGTCATTCGAGAAAATTCATCCACAAAGTTAACGAAATACTTAAACCTTATTTTGTACAGAACAAAACAAGGCTCCAAACATCATAATGAAATAACTCAAAAACAGACTTAACTTGTGTGTTGATCCTTGGACCTAACGGACTACGGTGATATTTTGTAAAGCAATATGAATTATAATCCAGTAAAGGTACATCATGAAATTAATGATATAGTTTCTTCAATATAAGTAGAGAAAGAGGTCTTAATTGACAATGTGCTTCAAATGCAGAGATAGCACTAAAACAAACAGCCAATCGAGGCACCCAAGTATTAACAATGTAGAGACTATCTAATATATTTTTTTATCAATAATTTACTTTGTCATAAGATTTTTAAAAACACAGTGATCAGAAAAAAATGTAATATAACAATTCAAATCTTTAATCAGCTTACTCACAGAAATCAGATTGAATGCGAGTTTAAGTAAACTTAATATAGATGACAGGGTAACAGATGAAGTTGGTTTTATGGTCTCGGAACCCACAATCTTATAGGTCGACCTATCAACAATGGTTACATGAAAACGTACTTTGTTGGTTTAAAATTAGGAAAAAATATTATAGGATGAACTGTCATGTGATTTATAACACTAGAATCAATCACCTATTTGTTCAAGGAGGAGATAAAATATTTTTTTTTCCTGATTCAGTAAGAGTAGAAAATTTATTCAATGATTTCTGATACTAAGAAAATTTAGCATATTTGTCAACTGAAATCATAACAGTTCTTTTAAAAAATAAACTAGCAGTAGCAACAACAATATTAGCGGTTTGTATCATCCGATTGTGATTCTGCAATTTCTTACAGTACCATTTTATATATCCTTATTTATTACAGTAATAGCA